TGTACAACGCTTCTCGAACACACGAGCTTGCAACTTCAGGGCAAGTTTTTTTTCTTTCATTGCATGTATGTGTATTTTTCTTTTCTCCAGTTAAAATAGACTTTGGCAAAAATAAATCATGGCTATATACTCCTCAGCTAAATCATCCCTCCTCCTGGGGACCAACTTGAAACTTCCCAATGCATAACTTTCTCTGCCTAGACCAGAACACTGCCAGCTCATCTTCCAAGAACCCCGAGGGGAAAGAGGAAAAGAAAACGATATATAAAGCTGACTGTATCTCGTTGTGCATGGAACTACAGGAGTCACTAAAAGGAACAAGGAAGTAGCTTTTCTAAAAAAATTAATCTTTTTTTTTTTTTAAGACACATACAGTTGGTTTATGACAACAGGAAGTACTTCCCATATCAGTAGCAACTTTTCAAATTACCCGGTCCTGGAGCCAGGTTACCAATTTTTCTGTATTAAAAAGTGGTCACTATTAAAAAGCCTTTAGTCAGCCTGTCAGCATCACAAAAGTGTAAAAGATACTTGCACTTGAGTCTGTCAGCAGGCTATAAGACTTTTTTTTTTTTAAGCCATGAATGTATTTATATGAAATGTATTTTATCTTCTGTGTCTTGGTTGACTGAGGATTGCTATTTTAAAAAATATACATACACAATGTTAACATTTCAAAAGTGGAATACAACTTAAATGGTTCAACAACTCTGTGTTCTGGAAGATCTTTCTGTATTGCACAAGTTGTCTCTAGTTACTGTTCTGTGCCTCCCCTTCTGTCTGAAACCAAGCCTATCTTAGAAGGACTTCTCAAAAGCAGCAGCAATGAGTACATGCTACAGATATGAAAAACAAAGCCTCCAGGGGGCCTCATTTTGCTTTTAAGGAATTAACTAAATATGGATGTGCTGCAAAAGGCAATTTGATACACCATCAGCTTTTCAAGCATTTCTGGAGAAGGGAAAGGTTTACATCAGGCTGCCTTCAAACATGGGGGTTGTTTGCAAATTGGAAATTTCCTGCAATTTGGAAAGAACTTTATCCTTCATTTTAATGAATCCTTTTTGTGACAGAGCTTGTGAAGAAGAAATAGAGGATGAGCAAGAATGTGTAATTCTTGCCATTAAAAATAAGGAACTGGGGTGCAGATGAAGGGATAGTAAATTCCTTTAAAAGCATTATGTGATAGTTGCTATATGCTGTGCTTGGCTGAAGAACATAGAACATGGGACTGAAGTGTGAGGGAGAGGTTCATGTACTACACGTGAAGGTCCCAGAATGCTCAGAGTAGCTGCAAATTCTTCAAAAAGCAGGTTCAGAATTTAAAATTATCCTCCTAAGTCTGAGAAACAAATTCAAAGAGAAACAAAAGCCAGTTTGGGCATATCCCATATAAGATTCTATTTAGGCCCCCTACCTCAAAAAACATGGGGTATCCAGAGAAAGACAGAGTATAAGTACCTTTACAGTGGGACTAGAAAGCTTCATCAATGAAGGAAGGTTATAGTTAACTGGCTGAAGAGGAACAGCACATGATGAGAGGAGTAACCTTCAACTCCTTGCAACGTTACCCCAATGAAGGTACAAAGAGCCATGGCCACAGAAAGAGGAGGAACAGTTCAGTTTACACAAAGTCACATTTACAATTTGACACCTGACTTTAAAACAATTCCTTACTAAATACTGAACTAGCTGCCCAAGCTCTCTGCCATTGAAACTCTTCAGAGCCTCAATGAAGGTTAAATAAAAACCTTTGAGAAAACAGCTTTGGCACAGCCCCTTGGGTGGGGGCTGGCAGAAGAGTCCTGGTCCCTGTACAAAACAGCAGCTGCATGTAACAGGGGTCATTCAATGGCTTGCAAGGGGAAAAGAAGTCTGAACAGGGACAGTAATGAGTTATTCCCTCAGGAGCAGGCGAGGTGATGTTTGACCACCCAGTGCACATGCAGTGCTCATGATAACACTTGGAGCATGACAGGATGCAGAGCTCTGCCTGCCACCTACAGCAGTGCTGAACTGCAGGGCTGGGAAGAGAACAGAACACGAGCTGAGAATGTGGGTCACAAATTTTCAGCCAACTCCCCCCCCCCAGATCTACCGCATCCCAGAAGTATAGTTTTAAAAAAATATGTTGTATTCTAATGATAAATTAGTGATGTTCTGCAATTACATGCAAAACAAGAAATAAATTCTCATTATGTGTTTGGTTCTGGCATGTTGGGGTTTTTGTTTCTTGGCTCTGTTTGGTTTGGGGGTTTTTTGTTGTTTTGTTTTTTTCCTGAGCCTGCCCAATGGCTAAGCTCTATTTACATAAGCATAAGTAATTTCCCTTTTGAAGGCTAAACTTTACACACTGGAAGCTTAAAAAATAACAAATCTGGTGCTGCTTTTGCATAAGGTGCCACAAAGGTGATCAGTAAAACTCACAGTCACTGTTTATGTGGAACTGCAAACGCTGCAGAGTAAAACTATGAATTTACCTGGATTAATTAAAAAAAAAAACCAAACAAACCACACTTCCAGGTTACTCAGTGCTGCTGCAAAGTAGATTAGTGATTGCTTTTTAATGTGATGGGACTACAGCAGCCATGGAGGAACAGGGCTGACTGTAATAAACACACATCTGCACTTGGCCTGTCATTTTCATGTATGAACGAGTTTCATATGAACGAGTTCTGACAGAAGTGGGGGGATGTTTGCACTATTGCTTTGCTCCTTGGAGCTGTAATAGGTAGAATCTTCCTACAGCTTTATTAGGAAAAGACATACTGGGAGAAAATCAAATCCATTCTATGCTGATATGGAGTTTTAATGAAGCTGATTATCACAGGTGATTTGTCCAAAACTGTCTTTAGGTGGAAGCATGTAGTCTTGGCATTAGACCAGTGCTAATTAACTTAAACAAGCAGAGCTCTGGGTGCAGTGTCTGATCCTCGCAGTTCTCACCTGTGCTTTTAAAGCAAAAAATAACTTTAAAAACCTAAAAAAAAAAAAAAGAAAAGAAAAAAAAGGAAACCAAAAAACAAACCAACCCCACAAACTGCTGCATTTTCCCCTTGTTCTCTCTTTCTGAAACACCAATAATCTTGTTAATGAACACTAAGAGATGCAGGTCACTGTGTTTGCTACACATGCTTATTCTGCATTTCCCCTCACATGTCTCCTATTACAGAAGTTTGCCCACCACATCTATCTCCATTAACTGTGAACATCCAGACCCTGAGCAGGAATACCCTTCACTCCAAGACATGACCTCATGTCATTAAAATGCTAAAGAAAAAAGATGTCATGTAAGTTTTACTTTTTAAAAATACAGGTAAGGACTATTAGCACTTGGATTTGAAACAGCACTGGACTACTACTAACAGGACTGTTGCAACTACAACTTCAGGGAGTGAGTCCAAATGTTGTTCCAGTACTTTCCAAAAAGTCCCAGCCCTGGGAGGTGTTTCCAGGGTTTTTATTTGTTTTAAATAACTAACCTAAACCTTTCCTGTTGGGTATAGATCAACCTATTACTTATGGTGCTCCCCCAGGGAGTGAACACGAAGAATGGATCACTGTTCTGTAGAGCTGCCTGCCCTACTTTCTGTCTTCTACATTGAAGCAAACACAAGTTCTCCCAGTGAGCCTGTTTCTGTGAAATTTAATCAGGGTCATTAAACCAGGGCTCCTGTGTCCCCATGTTCAAAATACAGCACCTGTCCCATCTCCCTATACCCTTTGTGGCAATTACTTCCCAAAGCCTTTAACTTCACCACATCCCAGAACACACTTATGTAATAGTGCAACTCTCACTTGCTGCTTTTTTTTTTCTTGTTATTTTTAAGACCTGGATCTTGGCTCTGAACATTTGCAGTAGCACAAGACCAGCATTGCTGTGAGGAGGGGACATGCACAGGTGGTGACAGTGGCTTCTCCAGGGGCTCTGCAAACAAACTCTACACCACAACCCAAGCTGAATTTCTAACTAGTCAGTCTGGATCAGTTTTAACCTCCATGCAGCCCCCTCTAAGCATTTACTGGCCAGCAGAGTCCTTCACTTCAGAGGAAAGATGCCAGGAAAATTGTTCACACCAACAAAAAACATACTGTAGAAAAGCAAACTAAAACCTCACACTCTGGAGAAATATCCATCAGACTCTGGGGTTTGGCTCTCTTGAGATTCTAAATGGATATTCAGCTCTTAAAACTGCAGTAAAAACTATGACCTGCTGTTGAAAATGCACAAGATAATAACTCTTCTAAATGCTGGTGAGATTGCGAATCTGTAATATGTGCAGCCTCCCTGCTCACCTCTGTGCATAATGATAACTAAATTAAGAGTTACTAGATAAACAACTTGGGAGCAGGGAAAACTCTGAGGCCCTCAGGGCATACATAGATCCAAAAAAAAACCCCAAACAAAAAAAAAAAAAACAAACCCACAAAAAAAAAAACCCAAACCACCAACATAACTATGGGCACGGAGCTTTTGGAGGGAAGAAAAAAGAAGAAAACTCACCTGCCTGTTGCAGCACCAACATCTAGTACAGCCACAGTGGGAACCACCCAGAGCCTACCCTTTTAACATTCAGGGCTTTCCAGGCCTTTCTGATCAAGGAGCAGACCCTCTTTAGCTGATTGCCAATTGTTTTAATGACTCCCATTAATTCTGCCTCTGGGTATCTGATCACCACAGCTGCTGCTGCTCATGCTCCAGTACTCCACCACCTTTTCTTCCAACACTTCCATGCTTTTCTCTGCTCCATGCCCTTCAAAAGCAAACCTGCTCTGGGAGCCTGCCCAAGGCCTTTGCTGTTGACTGCTGTAGTTTTATCAGCAGGGCACTGGGTGACAGCTCTTGTGCAAGAGAGATTTGTATTAGGTATTAGGAAGAAATTCATTACTTTGAGAGTGGTGAGGTGCTGTCAGAGGTTGCCCAGAGAAACTGTGGCTGCTCCATCCCTGGAAGTGCTCAAGGCCAGGCTGAATGAGGATCTGAGGAACGTGGACTAATGGAAAGTGTCCCTGTCCAAGGCAGGGGTTTGGAACTGGATAATCTTTAAGATCCAACCCAAGCCATTCTGTGATTCTGTGACTAGAACCCGCTCCTACTCGCCCTTATTTTGGCAGACCTGCATTTCCCAAGCACGGAGCACCTCTCGCCTGTAACTCAGGGAGCCTGTCAAGCGCTCTGTTTGCCGCGCCGAAGGCCCGGGAGGTTTTGCTCAGCTCTCCGCGTTCCCTCGCAGAGGCAGAGGGAGCTGTGCCCGGGCGGCTCCGCCTCCCGCGGGTGCCACGATGAACTGCAGCGATGCGCGGCGGCTGCAGGCGCTGCTGGGCGCGGTGCTGCGGGAGCTGCGCGGCCACGGCAACTCCAGCGCGGCCCCGCAGGGACCCGGCCCCGGCCCGGGGGCGGACGGCTCGCTGTACATCCTGCTCATCATGATCTTCTACGGCTGCCTGGCCGGGGGGCTCATCCTGGCGTACACCCGCTCGCGGAAGCTGGAGTCCAAACACGACCCCTACCACCTGTACATCGAGCGGGACTGGGGCCCCCGCGGCCCGGGGCAGGCGGCCGAGGAGGGTCCCGAGGGGCAGCGGCTGTGAGAGCGCCGGGACCGGCAGGAGGAAGGGTCTGTACTGAGAGGGCATCGCTCCTGCTGCCCTCCGGCTTGGGACTACAGCCGGCCAGAGACTGCGGGGGAAGCGAAACCCATTGCTCTTGGGCAGTGGCACAGCGCTCAGGGCCTGTCGTGCGGTGAGAGCTGTCCTACAACTCTTGGATTCGTTTGTATCGCTTTTCTACAATAAACAGCTGCATTACCTACTGCGGCCTTTCAGTACTTGAAGGGGGCTTATGAAAAGGAGGGAGAGTGAGTTTTTACACGGGCTGGTAGCGATAGGACAAAGGGGAATGGTTTTAAACTGAGAGATTCAGACTTGCTTTTAGCAAGAAATTCTTCACTGTGAGGGTGGTGACACACTGGAACAGGTTGCCCAGACAGGTTGTGGATGCTCCATCCCTGGAAGTGTTCAAGGATGGGGCCCTGGACAACCTGATCTAGTGGGCAGCATCCCTGCCCATGGCAGGGAGTTGGAACAAGATGATCTTTAAGGTCCCTTCCAACCCAAACCATTCTGTGATTACATATGTAGAGAGACCTCTCTCATTTTTCAGCTTTAGATCTTAGTTTAACATCTTTTCTTTAAAATCTGTTTGTATTCTACCTTGTTATCTGACTGCAATGCTCTTGCTGCCAGCAGCATTTTGCAGAATTAAAAGCAGGTCCATTATTGCTGTAGGATGCTGGCTTCTGTCTCTCTGGAGCACTGACAGCTGTGCCATGGATTGGAAGGCTCAGGTCTCGTTCTGTTAAAGCTAGATGGGTTTGGCTCACCTGGAAGCATTTATCAAAACAAAGAGAGCTTAGAAACTGAAGTTGTTCCCATGAGGAAAGCACAGTACTGTGGCTTTGCCAATGTACAGGAACTTTTAAAGCCATCAAAAACATCCTTCCACACACAGAGACATGTAATTCCAAGAATATCTTTAAGAATAAACCAACATACAGCCTATGCTTTCTACAGAAGAAGTCAGGCAGGCACAGGTTGTTTTAGAGGTTCTAGACATGACAGTAGTCTGTGCTTTCTTGGTTTGGGGTGAAGTTTTTTCAGATAAAGATTAATGAAAATTCCAAAGAACAAGTGCTGTCACTAGTAATGCTGCACTACACAATACAAACTACTATTTGGATTTTATACAAACCACAGTGAAGGAAAAAGAAGTATTGACATTAACTTCAAAGGAGGAGTGATTTTTGTTATAGACTTAAATTTACTAACACTCATTAATATTTTGTCCAACAGAAAACCAGTTGTCTTGTACTTGGCAACTGCTGCATCTTGTTCTCTACTGTAACTTTGTGGGGAATCACTTGAAGTGATGAGTTTAAAAAAAATCCTTGAGAGGACTGGCAGTTACCAAGTCAACCTTGCCACTGTAGAAAAACACTGCAAGATCCACAGACCAAATCACAAAGTATCCTTAGATATCAGTATCTTGTGAATACCTGGATATTTTAATGACTGCAAAGTATGGAGCAGAGAAAAAAATCAAGTTCCAGAAACAATTTTAGTGGGAGTACATGGCATAGTACTGTATGCCAGCATTGTATCAGTATGTGAAACCTTTAGCCCAGCACAGAAAATGCAGCAGTCAGTATCGTGTGGGAAAAAGGATGCTGGAGAAACCAATAAACTGCCAGTATTCTTAAAATCCCCTATCAAGTAGTTGGACAACAGTAAAGTTCTAGTCAGTTACTTCCATCTGCCAGGATTCCAACAGTACCTCTGGAAAATGAAAATGCTAACTTCAGCCTGGACTTTTGGAGAGTCATAAGCCATATATACGTGTATGTTATACATCTACAGCTGCAGAAGCCAACTGTCTAATGAACTTTCACACTGGGATAACTCAAACACTGTATCAGACACACTGATTTTCTGTGAGGATTCCCTTCAGAACAATCAGAATTAAGCTGACTACAACCAAAGCTTCTCCCTCTAAAAATGAGGGGATCATTATGCATATACAAAACCTTTTATTTACCCTGTCTCAGTGATTATCTTCTCTTTCTGTCTGACCACTGCCCATGAGCAGGACTGGCCTGAGAGGCCTTACAGACTCATGGCTTAGGAATTATTCAGGACCACTGAACTCAGCTACTTTAGACAAGAATAGGGGAAGGACTGTTACAGGTTTCTGAGATCTGCACACATTAAAGTTTCAATGCACTGGACACTAAAATGTGTGCTTGACACATTTTGTTTCATATCAGCTGGTTACTAACTGCTTTCCACTGCTTCATCCTACAGACAAATGCAAAGGAAGGCTGTGGCAGTCCCTCCAAGTACCACTGATTTCTTCATCTGATTTTCCCTTATCTTCATAATCTACTTCTCCTCCCAAAATGCAAAGTGTGTGCAACACCCTGTATTTAGGTCCTAACTAAAAAGAAGGGCTGTCCATGCCAAAAAGTTTGCCCTGCATGACACAGTTCAAAAAGAAGGAAAGCACAAGCCCTCCTGCCAAGTAACTTAACTAAACACCTAATTATCTGCTGTTCTATCTGTGCCTTCCAACACCTGAAAGAATCACAAGGTCTCAGTGAACTGCAGTAATCTGTGATTTACATCAGTCCATCTGTTCTTCTAGTTACAGTTCAACCAGATTAAAGAAGGTAACACCATCGTGCATTAACACACACCCAGGTACTTGAAACACCCAAGAATTCACAGAGACCTCGATAAGTTAGTATTAAGCCTATCAGCAACATTCATTTCTTTTTGTTTGTTTTAGTAAGTCCAGTACATCATGTACTAGTTGGAAATCTTGAAAATCCTTGAAGCTGCAAACTCAGCGGGACTGAAGTGAAATTGGCTGCAAGGAGACAAAAATTAGCCACTGAAACTCAACACATTTTTTTCCAGCAATAGTATATTCTAAGGCACCTGTATTACTGATGCAGGGCAAAGTGGCCACTTAGTCTCTGTAGCTTGTTCAATCACTGGACATAAAGGACAACAAGACAGATCTATTGATATTGTTAAATCCAACCTTCTGAAGGAGAAAGCCCAGCTATCAATATCCTACCTCTTCTCAGTTAGGAAGAAAAGAGAAAAGCTTGCTTTTCTAGAAAGACCTCCCCGTTCTTTTCTCCAGCCCAGGGGGAATTTTGAAAGAGCAGTTTCTGAACTCACTTTCAACGTACCTGCAAAAACATCTGGCTTGGCACTACTTGATTTATTATTCCCAGCACCCACAAACCTTTACACTGCATCAGCTGTCAGTGCCTTGCTCAGGATCATTACCAGGAGCGACTGCTTGCAAAGCCTCACTGAAATCTCCACCTTCACACACAGCAAGAACTTTCCAATATATTTGGCACTGTTTCCACAGCACGTTTCTAGAACAATCTGTTTCCACAAAACCACTGACCTTGCATTGGGATCTTCATCTTTTCAGTTGTCAGCTTAAAAGCTGCTGTCTGCACTGAGCAAGTGTTCATCATGCTAAATCTCCAGTTACCTCGTGAAGCTTTCCTTATTTGAGTGTTTCATTTCTTCTTAGCAGACAGACAGCAGAGGCACAACAACACGTTCTCAGTGAAAATACTTACAACCCAAGGATCTGGCTCAAATTTTGTTTGACTTCATCCAGGTATGTGGTGGACAGCAGCCTAAACCTCAGTAAATTTTAGAGGGAAATGTCAACTTGAGATAGTTACAGCTCAACACCATTTACTGCCTGAGAGTGTTCTGGTGAGGCATTTGCCACAGGGTTATTATTCCAGACATATTTTTGCCCTGACAGAGCTCACAACCAGCCTGTTCTGCAGAGTGCCCCAGCACCACACGGCAACAATTAAAAACTACAACATAAGCAGTCAAGATAAGGAAGCCACAACTTATTTCTTGCACTTTTAATATCACAAGAACGAGCTATGAAAACTTCTAATAATAATAAAAAAAGATAGAATATCAGGTAGGTGGTTTTTGGTTGGTTTTCTTTTTTTTAGTTGTTTTTTTTTTTATTAATCTTACAAGAGGTCTTAAACAATTTGAAAAACTTACAAAATATATTCAAGTGTGGAAACTTATTTTACTGGTAAAACAGCATTTCTTTATAATGTGCTTTTCTCCAGTTAGAGTAAGGAAGTGTAGGCATATCAGAACCATCAGACCCAACTATTCAGACCATCAGAACAAATCCCTTTTCTCCATTCCAAGGAACAGCACAAGTATTTTAAATCAATTTAACTGTGGTATTCTAAAAGAACAAAGCAACATAAAACCAGTGACTGATAAAGACAATACAGGGAACATACACAAAAATTCTATCTAGTCTTCAGTTGCTGCAGTTTCGTGTGTGGAAGTGAAGTGCTTGGCTGTTCAGCTGGCTTTGTTTCTGGTTGTACAAGAGTAACTTGGTATCAAACAAAAAAAATGGGAGCACAAACTCCAGTTTAGAGTTTGGAGCATAAACATACTCATTTTATAGATGCCCATTGTAAATTTTGGGTATTGCAGCAGAGTCAGCAACAGGGGACACTAAATCAGCTGGATGGTTTTGTATTGAATGAGATAAAAGAATTTTTGTGTTCTCTTCTGCTAATTTAAGCACAGAAGTTTTAGCAAGCAGCACAGAACTAGTATGAAAGAGATTTTTTGTTTGTGCCATTAGTTACTCAGTTGTAAAGCCACTGGTTGACTGTAATAGCTTCATTATCACTTAGTATAATAAATAAAAATATTTTGCAAACCAGCATTTTCAGTTATAAAGAGCAAGAGCTAACTCTGGTGGTACTGAATCACCCCAAGTGATCCTCACTGAAGAAGATGGAAATAGGCAGGAGTAACTGGCACTTCTCCCCAGCCCGAAGCAATTGTGTTCCAAAAAATTTCTCCACAAAACCCCTGGGTATGCATACCAAGTCTCATTCCAGCCATAGATCTTGCTAAGTAAGAGTTTAAGCTGGGTTTGTCCAGCTAGGCCAGTTAGTTACCTTCCTAAGTCACGTTCCAAGTAGTGGTAGGTTTTTTTTATTTGGTCAGTTTTTTTAATATTAACTGCAGGAGTCAGATTTAAAAGCAGCTTGCATTTGGATAGCATGAAAGTAATAACTGAGAATAACATCTGGTTGAAACACTGCCTCATATATTCTAAATCTCCCAATCTGCCTAGAAAAAGCTTAAAAATTACTACACAAATTCAAACTTGGATAAAAATATCCAAAAAGTATTTATTCACATGACAATCTTATCAGGTACTGATACAAGTGTGTGTTCTGGTGACCGCCTTCAAAGTCCAACAAGCCAATGCTACAGTTGCACCCATTACTACATTTTAAAAGGCAAAACCTGGTTTGTGTTTGCAAAGCAGATCTGTAACACCACTTACACAATCAAGAGCAAATTAAACAGCCAGTAGAGTACACCACACCAGTGTCACAGTTCAACAATGCTGTACCAGTTACAGGCATGTTTAGGGTTATGTTGTCTTTTCAAACTCGTATAGGAAATACAAATATATGAACATCGGGTATTCTCTTAAGAACAAAGAGTAATTAAATAGAGTGATCCTTTCTTCACTACATACAGAAATAACAACGTATTTACAATATTTACAGTTCTCAAAAATTCTGTTCCTGCACTGGTCTGCAGGAATTCAAATTCTTCAGCCTGAAAAATAGGTACACAATACTTCTGACCATAAACAGCCTCTGAATAGACACAAATTACTAATTCTAACTTACTGGGGTAAAGACTAGAGGGCCTGCAAAGGAAATACAGCCGCCCATTTCACCTAAACACTCCGTTATTTGTGGGATTATATCGCAAACTACAGATGCTTTAGGATGTTTTACACATGGCAGATATTGCTCATTTTCACAGTTTTCTCCATTTAAGCCATAGAACCAGTGAGCTGCAGCTGTAACTGCTTTCAGACTGCTGTTGTCATTGTCACATGGGTTCTGATGGGAGTTACAAGCTCCCCTCCTGTATTTTTAGTTACGAGCAAGTGCTCACAAATACAGCTACATTTTGGGGTTTGTTTGTTTGTTTTTCACTCAGCTTAAAACAGAAACAGACCAATTTGAAACAAATCTGCTGATAGCCAGATTTACTCTTAAGTTCCCAAGTTAAGACAGACACTCTTAACCTGCAGTCTTGAAAACTATTTTAAAGCAGCTGAAAGCTTTAAACTGCAAATTCAAAGCAAGACACACAAAACACCCCAGAATCAATAATAAAAGGCCATGTTTACAAAGAACATGAAAAATACAGTAAAAACCTGCATGAGAGGAAGATAGTGTTTGTGGTGCAGAGCTGCTGTTCTTGAAAATAATTCAAGCACCTGTTCTGAATAACAGTACTGAAGAGAAAAATTGAAGGCTTCACAGTAATACACACTTTCAGTGCCACTTTGTAACTACAATGGTTCTTGAAAAGACAAAAAGGATTCAAAACTTGCAGACTTAACATGGGAAAAACAGTCCAAACCTCATAGCAACAGAATGAACAGTTAAAGCAAACAGAAATCATGTTACCAACCTATTTCTAGGTCACTGTAAGACTTCAAAAGAAAAATATTCAGTTTGAAGTCCTTTACATGCATGTGGCAAGTTGTTGGCACAGGAGCTCCGAATCATTCAGCATGCCCTACATGAGAATCCATGTAAATTAACCAGGACCAAAGCCTGGGAAGCTCAGACCAGAAGGAAACCCGATGAGATTATTTAGTTCTATCACATCAGAGAAGGTAACATTACCTTTCCAATGGATTGAGAGATTTGCTCCTTTCACAAACAGTAGAAACCACTGCAATCCTTCCCAGCCTCTTACAACCAGGAGTAGGTAGCTTTCGGAATTCCATCCACATGCCACAAGCATCTTCTTCAAAAAAGAGAAGATGCTACTGTAAAAATAGATCTTTTCAAGTTGAAAAAAAACTACATTTGGTCAGAATTGTATATGAATAGGATTTTGTACTTAAATAGCAGAGTTTGAGCATTCAGCAGCGGCAGCACAGCTGCATGTAAGGCATTTGAGGAATGATTCGAGTACAGCTCACTGCCTTCAGCACTTCACTAAATTCAACTAACACGAGCAACCTCTCACATTTTAAGATTATTACTAAAGCCGTGGTCACTGGAACCAACCCCGAAGGATCTGAGGACCTTCCATAACAACAGATGCAACACAAAGAGCGCGTGTGTTCCCTGGGGAGAACAGCTGCCTGCACAGTGGACTCCTTTGTGCCAAATGAGAGAGGTCACTTCCCTGGCAGTCCCTGCTAACTGGCCCAGTCCTGGAAGCGGAAGCAATCCCCGGCGATCTTCCACACGGTGTTGGTGGGGGTGGCCTGTGCTGTCAGCAAGAAGTTCTGATTGAAGTAGCGCTGCTTATCGCCATCAAATTTGACAGTCCCACTTGTCACCACGAGCACTGTTGTCTGGCCTTGAGTAGCTTGTTCTTCACAAGGAGGTATAAAATGATGAAGAAAACAACTCAAACAAAGACTAGCAGGTAAAGGAGCAGGAAATGCACAGAGAGGCTTCGTTCAATGTGGCTGTACCAGCGCCAGGGTACCAACACCAGCTGGTTCCACAGCGGGGCAGAACAGCTTTGGTGCCGCGTTTCTACACAGACAACGGTGGGTTCGCTCAACACGGCTCTGCAATGGCTTTGCCATTTTCACCTCCTGCTGTTCACTTAGAGCACTGTGACAAACAGCTCCATTTTTGCTCAGAATAACCTCTCATTACTTGAGATATACACACATATAGGTATTTAGCAAGTTGCATAGACTTTCCCCCCCCGTTATTAGACATTATATCTTTTCCACAGCAGAGCAAAGCAAGTGTGCTTGACCACAGGCTTTTTCCTTACTTATATTCCCAAAATGTCCATTAGAAGCAATTTATTAACTTCTCAGTTATGTAAGCCTTTCTTTAGCAGTTGTTAATCAGAAATCTAAAGAACTTCACATCTATTCTAGATGTAAAGAAATCAAAGTACACATAGGTTAATAAAGATTTGTTCCACATTATACTGCAGATCAGGACCAGAGGCCACCATAGAGGTCTCTCAAGGACAACATAACCTGATAAGTCAAGACTTTTTCCATACATGAAAATACATCATTTCTGGATATGATCTTAACAAAAAAGTCCTTAAAATATTTTCCCAGACATGAGAAAAAGTGTGGAGTTGCTGCATCTTTTGATTTGTGCTTTATTTATGCACAACTTGACATTTCAACCCTTGGTATTTTCTCTAAGCTTATTCCAAAGGAAATATTAAGCCCTATTATAATTTCACTCCACTTTTAATAGTTAAAAAAGCCCTGAAAAATAGATAAATTATAACACAACCTTACCGTGAACAGGCTGGCAGTCCAACACATTAACCTGGAACTCACTTGATGGCAACATTTCAAAAAATTTATTTAGTTCTTCTTGCCCAGACACTGCATTCCCATTCCAAACTAACGTGGCTTTGTCCAAATATAGTCTGGTTAAAGCCTGAGTGATTATGAAAATACACATTTAGGAAAAATATATAAACATACAGTGGACAACATACAAAAC